AGATGTGTATAAGAGACGTAAATATATTTTTGACAATTAGCGTAAAGTTGACAGCGGCGGGGGAGACGTGGAGCGGGGACGTGCAAGTTGCTTTAGGTCGCACGCCGTCCGACAGGCAAACCATCAACGTCGTCATCGTCATGCCTGACGCTAGCAAGTAAGACAGAGACGAGTAAGAAATACTTGTGCAACGTTCATACCATTACTTTTTTTTCAAGCCCATTGAATATTTTCATCTTCCTCTGGAAATGTTTTTGAGTTGTCACCGTATTTTTAGCGCATTTTCTCATTTATGGAAAAAATGCACTATTTTGATCGCCAAGTTCGTCCGTCCGTCTGAGCCTCTGTCCGTCCGTGACTTCACGTTTTCGTCGACGAGAAAATGCGCTCTCTGTCACTCACTGCAGTGAGTACGGAGTTATATTTTTTTATATACATGTTGTACTCGTGTAGCAACATGTAAGGTTATTAATTATATATGGTTATTAATTTTAACCTCAATATTTCTAAGAACAGTTACGTTCACCTTTTATTTTATTCATCGGCTTTCAAATATATTCAAATCTAAATTCTAGTTTACCTCACAGGTGACTAAAAAAATCTTCTCAGACTTATTCGAGTTTTCTAAATGTGTATTTGAATTTTTGTGCTTGCGTTTAAAATACTTATGATATCATCAGTTACCTTTCCTATCTTCGTATGCTATCACTCTTCGCACTCCATAAATTCGTGTTTAAATTAAACAACAAAAATAAATGTTATTTATTTATTAATCAAATTAAATCTTAATTTCAAGTCGAATCAAGTATTTTTTACGAGCCCTACATTTACACTGAGCAATAATTCGAGCTTAAATTTCCACTTAGTCTGCTTCATTGATTCAATCCTCTATAAGTTTTAATTTCTAACTGACTGTATTTCAATTTCTCGTAAAATGAATATATTTCACGAAATATTCTACATCCACAGACTGGAAGTGGAGTCTGGCTTGCTGATGTACTTCACTCCCACATCCGCTGTTCTCTCTTCCCTCAACAGAGTTCATTTCCCATCTGGGGTGCAGCATAAGGTAAAAATTATATGCAGTTCGCATGGTTCAACTCGAAATTTTATACTGGATAAAAATTAGTGGGGAATAAATAAAAATTTTCAAAGATTATAAGGGTTAAATTGATAGTCTCAAAAAAGGTCGTGAGACTGATTTTTTGTTAGAATTTAAATTCCGCATTTCACTACTACTTGGCAGTTTTTTTAATTCAGCCAATTTTTTTGTAATTAATGACATGTTTGGAATTATATTTTCAAATTGTTATTATTTTATACTTTATTAACTGCTTATTATTAAGAATATTTTTTATATATCGGCCTCTGATCTACTTGTTATGCTGTAAATAATCATCGCCATATTTTTCACATACCTATTTGCCGTGATTGCTTGGGATATTCCCGAAATTTTGCTTGGAACAATATTCATCATGGACAGGCCATACTATGGAAATTCGCTTCTCGGTTTCTCGTCTGTGATCTAGGAATTTAGCTCGAGAATCCATCATCGATACGCTGATTGAGTTACAAACTAGTGAAATATTTTTATAGTACAGTGTCAGGATAACTGTAATAATAATACCAAATAATACACGCCCTGTAGCTGAACATTGAAGGAGAAGGCTCCAGTCGCCACAACGCTACCCCAGACGTCAGCCTCTCCGTGCAGCTGTCGTCGCCGCTCACCAGCGCCGTACAGCTGCACCTCTCGCTGCTCACTGACGATACCACTGCTCATCGCAGCGATACCACCTTGACGGTCGGTTGCGATACCACCCCAGTATTTTATTATTGATTCGCAGTGTTCATTCCTCATGTCACAATATGTTAGTTTCAGNTGTAGAACTTGTATAAATTAGCTCAGTTCATCGCGAGTTGGATAATTTTAAATTTTAGTGTTACTTCCATGTAATTTCGAAACTAAATTTATGAACTTATTCTGATGGGAGTGACTATTCTATGCAAAATACTTAAAATATATATAAATATATAGAATAAAATTCCATAATATATTTGAAGTTAGATCTGGAATTTATGGCTTCCTTTCTTGGTTAATGACACACAGCGAAATTTGCTAATTGATGGGTTCCGATGCCCTGTATTAATTGAGAAATCTTGGGGAATACAGTTGTATGTCCCTGCTGATGTTGTTGATCATTATTATCGTAATTACTTATTATTATACTTATTATTACCGTTAATACATATTGTTGTACTCATTATTATCGTTATTAATTATTATTATGTTAGTTATTTTATATTTCTCGCAATCTTATTTATTGTTAGTTTATTTAGGGTTATTAATGTTAGTTATTAGTTATTTTCATATTTCTCGCAGTGTGGGCACCGAACTACTAGGAATGGAGCAAGCGCACCTCACAGCTGTCGGACGCCATCAGCTCCTGCGCTCTGATGACGGCCGGCATGCTGGGTTCCAAGTATGAAATCAAATCAAAACTTTATTGAATTTCAAATATAAATTAAATTGAAACTCACATGAACTTAAGAGTACGCATCAAAATAAAACTTAAAAGAACTTCATGTATGAATAAAATTAAAATTCAAATGAACTTCAAGCATGATATCAAATTAAAACTCAAAATGAACATCAATGACAAAATCAAATCAAAACGCTAATAGACGTCAATTTCTCTTTCTCAGCATGCTTGAAACTCTCGAGTAGTTCTATTTATATGCAAATAATTCCAGGCAGAAGACTATCAAAACATTCCACACTTCAGAGAGTGCTTATAATAAAGTGTACTCGTTTTCCTCGCACCAGTTGAGTGCCGACTCTCAGATCATAGTGGACAACAATGCTGTGTGGACGAGCGTTGGTACCTTGCAGTTCAGGCCGCTGGCCTCCACAACTGGTACTCTCAACATCACACAAACTGTTCCTGTGGTGATGCATCATCGCTACCTCATAGAGGTGAATTTCTGTTAGTTGTTCCTAGACTAAAGGAAATGGATAGATATGTTAAATGCTAAGCATATAGATAGTATCTGTTTAAAACTATTTTCAAGTTAGCCGGCGTTTAATTGACTGTTGGCTCCTCGTTTTTAACATTGATGCTACATGAATGAGGCTGTGTTCAAATGAATATTTTAGTGTATGTTCGCGGCCTGCAATACGCTACTCAGCACATTCACACCACCTACTGTAATAACGAGTCTCCAGTTGTAGTTTTCGGTAGTAATTATTACCTTTTTCAATTATTTTCTTCGTCATAAGCTGTACTATTCAAAATATCACCATACTGTAAAAATAATGCTTATTTGTGGTTTAATTCACGTTCTGAGATAATAAATTAAATGTAAAATTTTCGTAAGTTTCTAGTGCAATTCATTGTTAACTCGTGCTTTGTGCTTGGTGATTTTTTGTTATCCTTTCGGCGGTATAAATCTGCAAAGTTGCCGGAAACGAAATAATATTTTGTGTAGATTACTAATATTATACGTTATAATATTAACCTCTGACTTACCGGCCAAATGAAACGATCTTCCATGTAATTACACAACAACATACCTCAATCTACCGGGTACTTAGATTTAATATATGCATGTGAATATGCGTGCATTTAAATGCATTACTGTAAGAAAAACACACGGTACTTAAATTTAATATATGCATGTGAATATACGTGCATTTAAATTCATTATTAGTATATGTTGGCAAAATTTGTTCCTTTAAGCAGGTTTCATTGAAGACCAAAGAATTTGTTTTATTGACAATTTTCTTATTAGTTTTTTTAATAGATCGAACAACATTTTTATTATGCACGAGTAAATCGAAAATCAGATCAGCGAAGGACATTTTTATTTCTTTAACGACGTTTCGAACGTTTCTATAATTCATTATCAAGTTAAAAGGCGCATTGAGTGATGGAATTTGGCTCGACATAAGTACAAAATCAAGTAAATAGGATACAACTCAAAATAATTACAAAATCACATAAATAATTAAAATTAGAGCACCGAAAATCACTCCGAAAACAGCCTTAATGTTCTGACAAATCCAGTACTTTGAAGGTTGATGGCTGGGGTCCTATCCTTAATGATGAGGGCCTCAGCTGTCGCGAGTCGGTTGGCGTCGGGGCATCGCATGACGGCGCTGGTGCATTCTTCCAGCACCGTACAAGTGATGGTCTCGTTGTGGGCTTCCATCAGGNAATCTGAAGTTTGATGGTACGGTACCACGCAGGCTAGTCTGAAGTTTATTGTAGCGGTACCACTCATGCTAGTCTGAAGTTTATTGTAACGGTACCTCGCAGGCTAGTCTGAAGTTAATTGGTACGGTACCACGCAGGCTAGTCTGAAGTTGATTGGTACGGTACCACGCAGGCTAGTCTGAAGTTTATTGGTACGGTAACACACAAGCTAGTCTGAAGTTTATTGTTACGGTACCACGCAGGCTAGTCTGAACTCAATTGGTACGGTACCACGCAGGCTAGTCTGAAGTTTATTGGTACGGTACCACGCAGGCTAGTCTGGAAGAGGAAGCGTTCACAGGGAGGGTGGTAGGCGTGCTAAACGACACGGCAGAGGTCCGCAGCACGCTACGGTACCTTGACTACCAGGTTAGTTTGTAGCTACGTAATAGTGCCTAGTAATTTATTTCTACTATTTCAAATTTTAAAGTTTATATTACTGTCAAATATTGAACTGTTTCATTGGTAGTATTATAAAGCAAAATAAATGTCCTTTCGTGGGTGTACAGTGCGGTTTGAAAGGGTCTTAATTAAATTAGAATAGTAGGTTTTACTATTATTGTTAACGGGATAAGGGATTTCGGGATTTGGATTTCAAAATTGCAGCTTTTGTAAAGCCCGTGAAACGCCGGGCTAACCTAATAATTGGTATAAAATTAATTTTTTTGTCATTCATCATCGAGTTCATTTGGCATTACTGAATTTAACACAAGGTAATGATCAGTACGGCATTGTTTTTCTTTTTAGCCTAAGAAGATATCATTACTCTAGTTCTCCATCTCATTTAACCACAGAAACTAAGAGTTTTTACAGTAATCTGCAAATTTATTCTATAATTGCTTGCAGAAGAACTCCAGTACATATGTCGGTAACCTGCTTCATTTAATTTTTTTTAAATATTCCCACAAATCTTCCCGACATAAAATGCTGCTATTATACGGTCATTTAACCATTATTGTCTATCAGGAGATGCAAGTGAAAGGCCGGTACAACGGGCAACTATCCTTCCTGAACCAAAGCATCACTTTCCTGCTCAACACGAAGCTGCACAATGTCGGTCTCGGCTGGCGAGAGGCATGTTAACTTTTATTATTAATAGAGTTTCATTTATCACTACTTTTACAAGGCTAATTGGTCTGGCCTCTTACCTCTTGAGTGTTGCTTAAATTTCTTTTGGGATGTTTTGCTGCAGGTGAGTTTTGCATTTTTCGCATTGTTTCGTAAATTTTAAGCGGCTATATTGATTTACATCATAAAAATAATTTATTAATATAATATTGAAAGAGTCAGTACTCGAACAATGTAATAAATTAAGGAAGATTCTACATTTTATCTTTGATACATGCTCTTATATTTTAGGGTTCGTACCGCGAGCGCGCTCTGAACACGTCTGGGACTCTTAAGGCGGGCAACACTCGCACAGACCTCACCCACACTCTGCTGCTCTCTCCTGACGTCTCACGCACTCTCTTCACCCTATCATCTCTCTACGACCAACCACTTGTGGTATTAATTCAGTTCATACATTTAGCGTTTGTATTGTTGTATTTCTTATATAATTTATGGTAGAGCAAGCTAGGCTTCTAATATGATACTCATTCTCTCATTCTTGTAGGTCAAACCTCAGAATGACTATCCATATCACCAGGTAGATGTAGTAGTGTCCAATATTCGTATGAACACGATGTCCCAAGTCATATTTTAACACTGGCCAACAAAAGTTCGCATCGCTAAGACGTTGATAAAAATTCCCTAAAGCAGTCCGTTTCATGAAATTTCTTGGAATGGCGACTTCACGATTCGCCTGGTTGGAGCTCATACTGATCGTTCAAAGTCTTCTGTTTGAACTACTCGCATGCGCGATACTCAATCTACGAATTTTCCGAATTAGAGTTACAACACTACACTAAAAGTTACATCTCTTACTATAATTTTTCAGCAATTAGTTGAATATCCTTGACAAAAATTCATTTCCACAGCTGTTAAATATTTTTAATATTCCCTTTCGTATCCCAAAGATAACAGTGACACACACAGTATTGGGTGTGAACCACTGGACCACATTTGCTGAACTACATCACGGCAACCACCTCAGCACAGCAAACTACACAGCACACCTAACCTCCTTCAACAAGTTCTTAATACAAGGGGTCGTAGACTCACCGCAATGGGGCTATAGAAACGTCAGTGGGGGCATTTCGGCCTCCTCCGACCGCGGTGAAGTGGAGTACAAAGGGGAAGTGAGAAGGAGCGACGTTGTACTCAATAGTGGCAGGTGGGGCGAAGGGTTCACAAGCAGAATTTCTTTATAAATTTGCAATAAATCCTATGACACCAAAATTATGATTCCTTGTAGTATTGTACTCGCAATCTTCAGGTTGAAGCTGAAATGTTGTAAAATGTATTCATGGGTTTTGAATCTGTTAGAAGTAGTAATGATATTTCATTGAGGAATTGCAAGTGATAAAAAGGTTATATTCAGACCATATATTTATGAAGCATCAATGTACCGGGTTTACCAGCTAACTCTTTATGATTAACATAATTCCACTCATGGAGTGTAAGAAAAAAGTGTTCGATTTATGAAGTATTGACACTGCGCGATCTGGAGTATATCTGTTAATTAAATAATTTCTATTTCAGATTCGATCCTACTCAGCATAAATCTTGCTAAGTTTAATTTAAATTGACCTCTCTAGAGATATGTGAATGGTTCTTTCTCCCGAGTTTTTATATGCTGTCTTTTTATTAGTATGAGAACTCCATTGAATTTGATTTTTATATTTGTGCAGGATTGCTTTCTCGTTGAAAGAAAGAGAGGATTCAGTGTCTCTGTCTGTAGCTTTGACAGACATAGTCTTGAGGGAAGATCCAATGGCAGACTGCACGCTATACTACTACCTCGACAACGGGGAACTGCTCAAGCAGGTCAATTGAGAGATGACAAATTACTAACTACTATCTCGAACTGAAGTATGTGATCACATTAGCTCTCTGAATTTAGCCTTTCGTCTATTTACGATTATTCATTTCACTAATACATAAATATTTTTGTCTGCTACTTGATCAGCTACATAAAATACAGTACGCCTTACCACGAATAGTTAAATTGTCCACGAACCTGCTATTTTCATCACTGATAATAAATATTCTGATGGCTTGTTAGATCCTAAGTATCTCTTCCCTCGTCTGAACATCAACATTGGCAACAGAGGCCACAAGTCTTACGCTTCTTCACTGATTCACTTACGCTTCTTCACCACGCTGATGACATTAGAAAAACTGTTGTATAAAGAATTTATTGAAAAATCGTCACTTGGGTTATGATTGTTAAATTTTAGTGACTTTATGGTTGTTAAATTTTAGTGACGTATGAATCATTATTCATTAATTTTATTATGCATAACTGTTCAAATAGAGGAGTGTGTACATAACAATGACACATGAGAGTTGTATAGAATAGATCATTGACCATAATGTTGAGCAGGTTAGCAGCAACATCACCGTGGGTGAGGTACCAGTTCTGCGGGTAGCCAGCAAAGTTGGCCCACTCACCCGCCACCTTCTTGTGGGTGTCTGCTCGTCGCCCACCCGCTGTCTAAGGTGAATTTTTGGTTTTGTCACTTCCGTCAATATTTTTAAATTAGATCTTAATTCATTTTTTATTATAGGAAAAAGTTATTTGTTGCTTCTTAGGGCTAGTTTCGAAACTTCAGTTGAATGTAGCTTCAATATTATTTACTCTTGATTTATCATGTAAAAGAATTTACCCAATCCGTCGAAATTTTGTTTGAAATTAGAACTTGACTTGTGAAGTTATGATTCTTCTTCATGTTTCTAATTTATTTTAATGCATAAAAAATTATTCACCAGGCTCCTGACAGAAGGAGTGACCCAAGATGATGACCACACTCGATATTTCAAGCTCAAAATTGAAGCCCTGAATTCCCTTCTCTGGGGATCACTTCCCCTACCTCATGTCGAGAAACAGTCATCTTCATCCTCTAGGGAACAGCCTTTCTCAACCTCTTGGGGACAGACTCTCTCAACCTCTAGGGGACAGACTGTCGCAACCTCTAGGGGACAGACTGTCGCGGTGAGCCATGAAGAACAGCCCCCCTCTCGTGGTGAGGACGCAACTTCCCACAACAACGGAGAAGACTCGACGTTTACTTACACCCCTTCTTCTACAATCCACGGCATTCAAACCGACTTATCGAATCATTCTTTTGCGGACGGAGGGCCTCATCCTAACATAAAAGAAAACCTTTTGCACGCAGATAATGATGAGGAACAGGATAACGTCATGACCAATACCAAAAGGAGGAGACATAACGAAGACTCAGTCCCCCAATGGCTTCAACACAGTCTCGAGTTCACCGCATCGGAAAAAGTATTTTCTATGTTACCTAATGTGTGTGACCAAATGTGCTTGAATAATTTGTTTGTGGTGAATGGTTCGCATTTCCTGAAGTTTACTTGACACCAATGTCGGACTGATTTTGTTGAATGCATCAGCAGTTTCATCAGGCATATTGTATCGTGTTGATTAGCAAAACCCCCAAAACAGCATTCTTCGGTAAACATACCTGATCGATCAAGAATATGTAACGGGAACATTTTATGCACCAGTGGAATACCTACAGTTATTCAGATTCCTATAGACATTCTGCAAGTAATGTAGGAAATGCCGGACAACCGCATAAAATTACGAAAATGATTATATATTTATTAATATATAAAAGTTTAGATACCTGTTAGATGCCTCGGTTAATATAATAAATAAATTAGCTTATTAATGATGACCAATTTGACCAATCGTTTTATCGTTTGTATGAGCAACGAATAATATGCGCAATGGCATAATTTTCCCGACTAGAATGGCGGAGTGCTGAGCGTGTGTGGCAGGCTTCAGAGGGATCGCTGTACTTCAGCCACATGCAGCCACTCTTCTGCCATCGGAGCACTCCAAGTGGCTGTGGCTTTACAGCCATTTTCACAAGTTATGAAATAATAATTAGTATGCTTCATTTTGATGCGATTATTAATAACTAAATTTTTACATTTATTGTTTAAAAAGAATTTATAAATACATAGATAAGTTTCCATAGAATAATCGCAACCCCAAACTTCTATCCAAAATCAATGCTCATCATTATACGCATTAGGATACGTTCGTACCTTTGAAGCATGAAATTTTTCCTGGGAATCACGCATGAGTTTTAAAAACCATTTTCCGTGCAGGCAACGTGACGGTGACCCTGGGGTCACAGGTCATCAAGCTGGCCGCCCGCGCCGCCTCGTATCCAACCATCACTTCTCAGCTTCTGACTGAGCCTAACGGTGATCAAAATCACCATAACGTGATCCAGGATAGTGAGCATAGTGTACATGACGCTATACATCGCACTGAAAGTGCGCCTCAGCATTCATCCTTAGAATCAAATTATTCAAGAAACATTCGAGCGTTGGTTGATGTCGCGTTGAAATCTGATGATGCCATGAGCGCTATCATAGACGCACAACTTCCTTCTACGAGGCCTGGCGCTGAACTGCTTGGTGCAAGCATGTGGAATCTTGCCATCTGGTTCGACGAAGAAAAGTCTCCAGAAAATTTTCTTAATTGGAAAACGTACACAGCTTTGTACGACTGGAGAGAAGAACGAGAGAGACGATTTGTGTCTACTGTATCTCATCCGTCTATGTCCAAAGTACGCCTTAACACCCATTTGCAAACGTAATCGTGAATTATAATAATTGTAACATTTAATTATATGTGTTATTCCGGTTTAAAATGTAATAATTTAGTAACACAAGAGATTTTTATAAAACTTTTGTGACTACGTGCTAAGTGTTTTAGATCTTGACGAAATAAGGAAACAAACTTAACGAGAAAACAATTTAATATTTGTCAGTAGTTTATACGAAGGAAATGAAATAAATCTACCCACAATCACAGAATTCTACTACTTCAATGAAATAGATCTTCTTCACAATTCCTTTTACGACGAAAAATGTATTTGACAGGAGCTTCAAATTGAAATTTGCCAGTAAAAATTGTCTGAGTATTTGAAGCCTTAACCATATTTTAGAGTCAATGCTCACTTCATTCACTATGAATAAGTGTAGAAATGATTGAAAAAGCTCAAGAATTTCATTTTCTATATTATTCGTGTATTTTTTGGAAGGATTTGTCTGTCCGTGGACATTGTATCCAGCGGGAGGGAGAACTTCGGGTATCCTTGGATGTCGATGTCATGGGAGACTCTTACAATCTGCAGTCGCACTCCCTGCACTGCAGGAGGCAGGAGGGCTATTATCTGGTCGACTACAAGGCTCAGGTACATGTAGCACATCAAATTAATAACGCAAGCTTGATTGTATCATATAAAATTCATTATGTACGCTCGAATGAAAATAGTATCTGTGAGTTTAAATTAGAAATTCCTACGGTTTTTAGCGCATTTTCTCATTTATGGGAAAAAATGCACTATTGTGCTCGCCATGTCCGTCTGTCTGTCTGTCTGTCTGTCTGTCTGTCCGTCTGTGTGTCTGTCCGTGACCTCAAGTTTTCGTCGACGAGAAAATGCGCTCTCTGTCACTCACAGCAGTGAGTACTGAGTTATATTTTTTCTGCATTCAGTTTACTACCTGGCATAGTCCTTAGTAGAGATTTCTTGGATGAGGGCATTGTCTCTTAAATAGTTATGCAGGATATTCAATAGGTTGATTTGTGTGATATATTTAATTATTGCAAATTTCATGCGCTTGCTCTGATCGGAAGAAATCCATGGCTGTATGAATGGCACAACAGTATGAAGAGTTATTGCGGACTAGACTGAAGGTATAAATATCAACATTTTATCTCTCTACCCAGGTATTATTTACTCTATTTCATTGCAGAGGCCTCAACCAGACTACAGCGATGAGCTTCTGGTTTCTGCATCTGCGAGATTTTTGCCGGCTCCTGATAGAACTTCTCTTATTCTTGTAATCAAAGTCCCGGATGCTGAGCCTGGAGAAACGTTATCTCCTCGCGGCGCTGCTTCACATTCAACGAATAATGCGGACCCACTTGAAATAACCAATCAGATTGCATCCTTTGTTTCTAGTAATTTTAATCGCGTTCATAGTCGCTATAAAAGGAATGCGCACATGAGAAAATGTGTCGCCTGCATAAAAAATACAGCCGACACTGAGGTCGGGTACACGCGAGATTCAAAGAACGAAAATTATAAATCTGAAAGAATGGCATACATAAATTCAAACGGATCACTGGTTAGTTCAATAAATTTCAGACCTTCATTAACTGGGCGGTATCTCGAAAACTCGACCACAAAGTATTATAATTTTGAACAAGAAGCAGTTGGAAGATACCAGGAGGATTTTTCTAGTGATGAAAATAACAATAAAGGCAAGGAAAACGTGCGCATTAGACGAACAGTTCGTCCATCGTCTCAAGCACGCACAGGCAACGCAAGCTTCAGAACCCTGGTGCTGTCGTGTGGGCTGGAAGTGAAACAAGCTGACTACAGGGCCTATCTTAAGGCAAGTTAGAACGTCTCATCTAAGATATTAAATGCATTTTAGCTGTTTGATTGTTTATGTCAACCATTATCGCGGTTTCTGTCAATATTTTTATTTACTTATTAGGTTTATCAACTGAAATATTACCGTCTTATTGCGTTTTTTCAGCTCCGAACTCCGTCCGTTCGAGAAGACTTCATCATTTCCTATGAAGACAACGTCAAGATGCAGACTCACGGAGTGCTGGTGGATGGCGATGAGGACTCGTTTAAATTTTCTTATGATGGAGATTGTAGAGAGTCTGTCCTTCAAGCTTCTATGGTGGAGCACAACGTCGAGATCGCTAATCTTCAGTGTCCCGTTAAGCCTGCCTTTGGTGTTCGAGGACTCTTTCGCGGTAGGGATATAAATTTTCCTAATAATTCAAGGTATAGGATACGGAATGAAATTGTGAATTAAAATATATCAAACATAATTTTGAAAAATTATATAACTAAACTTCTGATTTTATAAGTTGAAAATGTTATTTAATAGGTCATTATTGTTAGCAATAGCATAGACGCCTTCTCATTAATATTTTTTCCACTCTCGAAATTATCAACTTTATCAAATAATTTCAAGCCAAAATGTAAAAATTATCTCAATAAGGACATGATGTGTTCTCAATTTCCTTGATAACTTTCAGGCCCTAATATTGGCGCGGTGGAACAGTTTCTACACGCAGGCGTTGATTCCCAAACAGTTGCTTCTGTTGAGCTAACGGACGTAGCTCAAATTGACGCAACGTTATACGCACCCTTCTTGCTCCGCGTCACAGGACGCACTGATCAACATTGGTCAAAGAACCTCGTCGAATACCAGGTACATGTTACGACCTCATAACATGATTAAACAAATATTTGTCTATATAACGCTATATTTCGATCTTGCATTCATACTGACATTTTTTGGGATTTTATGGTTACATCTATTCACACGTGCAAAAATCAAAATGAATTTAAGTCAAATATTTTAGATATTTTTTATACGTTACCACTAAAATTTACTGTGTTCCTGCAGAGAAAAGCAACGTCATACCTGCACGACGTACTGAAGCGCACTGGAGCGGTTGTTCTCATGGTAGCGGAAGACGCCCAGCCAGCGGCTCAGTCGCTTGCTGTCTGGCCTGTGAGGCAGTCGCTAGCGTCCCACGGTGAAACTTCTGCCGTATTGTCACTGCAAAATCATATGCAGCAAGAGTATCGCAATATTAGAAAATTGTTCAAACAAGATGAGTTATTGAGAGATGTTTCACTCGTGACAAGAAAATACTACAACGCACTGCAGTGAGTTGGAATTACAAAATAATCGATATTCAAGCCCAGATTGTCTACCAATTTATTAGTTATCTCACTTGATTAATTTTTATAATTTTTGTCGCTAAATGTATTTTAAATATCAAGTTTCCTTAATTTTAAACTTGAATGACAATCCTTGATATATAAATTATACGTTGCTAACAAAAAATAAAATTTTTGTGTTTTTTTCACCTTCCTAAAACTGTGTAAAAAATCTTCACCTTCTGTGTGCGTTGGCTATCATATAGTAGAATTTATTCACACCAGATTTAGATATATATTTCATTATTAATCTACTTAATCACTTTTCTTCTTATGAGTTGCGTGTCTTTAAATAAAATCTTTATAAGTATTTATTCTTAATTGTATTTTCCCCTTCAAGCATCATCGCGGAACAGCTCTTGGCTGGAAATATAACACTGGATCAAGAAGGCCAACAAATTTCTGAGTCATCTTTGATTGCCATCACTGCAGTGGTCACGAATGTGCTTGACGTAAGAATTAAAAAACTATTAACCTCGTCAATCTAATATTGCAAACGCAAATTTAATCTTAAGTGTTAATTTTCGTCGATATCAACGCTATTTGGAACATTCTTTTAACCATATAATTAATATCCGTTAAAAAATCTCGGATTTTGTAATTCTGCCATGAAAAGATTATTTTCTATGATTGTCTACTCCATGCTTTTTTAACCAATATTTCTCCCCTTGAAGAGAGTAAAATAAACTTCAAGTGATAATGCAGCCTTTACACAAAATTAGCATAACGAATTTAAAATAAAATTCACCTTGCATGCTTGCATGCATGGCTATTACTATCATCATTCCGTTCAACATGACCGCATTTTTTGTTCTTTGAGCAGGACGTGTACAGAAATGCATCCCAGCGTGCCGTAGAAATAACACAGTCAGCACTCGGCATCACCAATGAACTGCTGCAAGAAGCTTGCACAGAATTCCGACTGTGGTGGACAGTTGGTAAGGACCCGAGGCCGGTGTTGCATTCTCTGAGTCTAAATTATTCAAATCTTGCATTAAAATGAAATTTATTCTAACTTAAGCTCTGGAACGGGTTAAATTTTTTTAGATCTGATTTATAATAGATTTGATTTCGTCCGATATTCGTACATTTAACGAAAAAATATTTATAACCCAATTTTTCTTTTAATTTTAATTCTTTTTTAATTTTTCTCGTCAATCGATAATGGTATACATTCGCACACACCAATGAAACGTTTCAATATTATTGCAACACAATCATTTTTGCGCTTACATTAATTTTCAATATTATTCAATTCAACTATGGCATGACTTCAATGCTCATTATTCACCTTCAAAATCTTGGCTTTACATAAAAAAATTCAATTTTACTTAAAATTTGTTCCAACATAAAACTTTAAATATTGCAGTTTTACCTCACTAAATCCACGGAGTTTACTCCGAAGATTTACTTATCTTTTCACACTATGGGTTCTAATTTCATTTCCAATACACATTTTCACGTGAATTTAATCTAAAACTTTTTATCGATGTCAGAACAGTTGTAAAATTAGGCACAAGAATGTAATTTTCTTCTCAATTGGTTTCAAAGGTGAACCCAACCGTTTTTATTTTTTAACAGTTAAAAGTTGGCCCCCCGTACGTCAAGCTGTCACAATCTGGCAGGGAACGGGAGATGACGAATCTGCTTGGCAGCGAATTCTCACAGGCGTTGCTAAAACAATGAAAAAAACTCACAACGTGAATATATTTACTTAATTTTGATGTAGTTTCAGTATGAAGAAATTTTTATAATTTCAATAAACATCATCAATAATTTTTCAATAAACATCATATGTGACTTAATTTCATTTATATGATTATTTTTGTTTTACTCGATTTACTAGCATTCGATCGAAGAATATCACATTCTGCCTTCAGATTTACTACGCATGTTATAACGATGATCGTAATCTTATTTTCATCTTTATCTATTCAAATTTTTTAAACTTTCTATTTTATGCAGATGCTATTGGCTGTACTCAGTGCAGAACCCGGCGATACAGAAGAGGGTGATATTAGTTTTCTGGTGAGATTTTTCGAAACATTATTAGTCATTGTGAACTTATATTCTTCACAAACTTCAATGAACATTTGTTGGGCTATGCCTGCATTGATAAATGTTAATAAAATATATTTACGGTCATATTCCTGAGACATCGATTAAATATATTATATTTGCTGGTAAGTATCCTGAAACACTGGGTAAAATAATCATTATATTTATTGTCTAGTTCCTAGAAAAATGGTTTTCAAAAAATCAATATATTTACCGTCATGTTCTTAAAACTTCGTTTACAAATCATATTTTCGGTTAGGTTCCTGAAATTCTAAGAAATAATTTTATTCATGTCCAGGTACCTTTACCAGTCGCGACGCACTCACTGCTGGAGGTAGCGCGTTCATTAACATCCCGCGGCCCTCCAGTTCAAGATTTAATCAACCATCAAAGCTCGACGTATCAAGCCCTTGACCGCAGCCGGCAGAGCGTGATGTGGCAGCATATTTTGCACTACCTTGCCCTGCTACGTCAACCCTACCGTGTATACAACGAATTTGTGCCTCCACATGCAAGCCCTGGAGTTCTGTTTTATCCTGACCTCTTCATAGACCTTCGAGGGAACGTCAAACTTCTAAATGAAGGCTGCAGGGATGTGCTGTTACTTGCGCATGAACTTTACGGTTTGAAAGTAGTTATTAAGTACAGAAAGCATGAGAAGAACTTGTTCAATGGAACAGATGGGTATTCGGATACGGCATCTCATTTGCTGCATGATGGAGAGCTTATTATTATTGTGGGCAACAGCTCTGTCAAGATCAACTATGACGAGGTAAGAAAACTTGACAAGCTTCTTACCCCAAAACTTTTTGAACTTGAAGTTAATATAAACAAATAAGTTATTTCAACATAACTTGAAATTGAAATTTATTTATTTATTAAATGATTGTCCAACGATTATTATAGGGTGTTTCGTTAAAGTACAACTAAAAACTTGATATTTATACTTTTTATAAGATTACTATTATTTTTATATGTATGAGCCACTAACTTTTTACTTGGTTTATTGCATTTCCAGGTACTGTTGCAAAGATGAAAGTATAAACGTTACCGCATGTAAATTATCGAAAATTTTATTTCGTAACATAAAGATGGCCATCCTCAGGTTGTGGTAAACTCGACTCTCGTGTCCCTGCCATTCATGGGCGACGAGCATGTGACGATTTTGCGTGACTTGTCGTCAGTCACGGCGGTGCTTCATGACACGTCATCTCTCGACACTGATACGAAAGTGACGTGCTCCCTGTATAGCGACATCTGCATCGTCTTTACTGACGATTGGCTCTCAGCCACAGCCAATCACGGACTGCTTACAACCTCGTTTAAAACACAGGTTTTTCTCAACAATCCCCATGCTGCTAGTGGAGATTTAACATAGCATGTTGAGAGCCTTTTATATTGTATAGATGCCTATTTATTCGAATTAACAATAAGCTTTTATATGGTTTAATATTTCAAGCCTTTTGAAAGAATTTGAAATGCACACAAAATTTCTTTTGGAGGTGCGTACATTTTCCGCGTTATTGATTGGGAGAGTACTAAATTCCGTTTCCAGTATTTTTCCACCGGTCAAATTCTTGGAACGATTTAATACATAAAGTCTAGAAAAAATCTTTGTAGTGAGTCGCATTTCTGAGTCTCAATTTTGTGCACCTGACAGGCGTCAGAATCTTGCTCGAGTCCGATAGATTCGGCAGATCATCCACAAGTTTCTGCAAATCCTAATCCACTGACTGCAGCAGAACTGATGTGTCACCACCTCATCCTGTCGGAATCTTCCCAGCTTGCGTGAGTCAATCCCTACAGTCAACGGAGAATCGATGTGAAACGTGAAAAATATAATATGTAGGCACAACACGATATTGTGGGATGCTATGGTCGATTCATATCAATCATCGTATTTTACATACATCAAGTGTTCTACAGTATTCAAAATCTTTTCCTCGATTAACTCTTTAGCTCCAATCTTTAATAAATCCATCCTCTTACACGAATCTGCCAGTAACAGCTACTCTGAACGATTCCCATTTAAAAAAAAAAACATCGCTATTCACTTTTTTTCAGTTCGTGTCAGCATACAGTGGCGGCGCTACCTTTCTACAGGGCGTGCGTCTTACAGCTGCGCTCCCACAATGCACGTAACCCTTTCCAGTCTCAGGATGAACTGAGAGAACCACCAGCACCTGAACATGATAATGATCTTTACGGAGTGCTGGGTGTCTTGTTCCATCAACATCGGAGGAAAAATCAAGAAGGTTGTAAATAAAAAAATAATTTTTGTGTAACGAAAATTTATGTTGGATGAAAACAGTTCTTCCAGATTAATGTTTCAAATATCATATTTACTCAGCGTTTGAATGTCTGTGATAAAGTTGCCTCTTGATTTTACAATTTATCAAACTCATCCATTCAGGAGTACTTCTGCGATTTATTTTATGTCTTAGGTACTAATTCCATCCGGATTTTCAATGAAATAGTATACGAGTCACTTATCCTTGTATTTATCAATGCTTGTTGTTGATCGCCAAATCGTGGAACATCGTTTTATGATTTGGCATATCTCTGTCAACACCAATTACTCAACAGCAAATGAACTTGATGCAGATTTGAACAGCACCCAAGAGGCCTCATCGTTCAGGTCGCATTTGTTCTCGGCGACGGAAGTAAGCGACGAAGAGACGGGGCTGGTCTGCGGTGTCGTCTGGTCCTTCGCTAAAGTCTGCGGCTACAGAAACAAGGACATCATCCCTGATGAAACGACTATATGTGGTGAGGCGGCAATATATGTTTTGAATTTTTATTTCATGAATGGGATGAATTTATCGTTTCCTGTGAAACTAGGTTGATAAATTTTGTTCTATTGAAACTATTTGAGCGAAAACCATGAATTTTACAGTGATGTGAGAAATTCCACCGAAGTTAAAACTCCTTCTAGAACTTGTTTTTCTTGTTTTACTGTCTGTACTAAACAGTTTTAAAATAAAAGCTAGGCAAAGTAACTTTCTTATACGAATGCAATTAATGCACTGATGTTTCATTTGAAAATTTCTTCCAATAAATTTTAAATGCTGAATGACATGCATGTTTGTTCTCCCCGAAGAGCAATATCGCCTGAACCAGAGAGACGTCGACGTCTGGAACCGCAATCGCGACACAGTATTTGGCAAAAACACAACTTCTGGCGAAACTCCTGCTGTGCTCTCCCATACACAAGACGTTGGTGAACACTCATCTGTTCCTCCGGAACAAGGCATAAAGGGTGACATTCTCCTGCTTGTAGAGAGTGCACCTTGTTTGAACAAGTCTTACCATGAAGTGTTGCGGTATCTGCCAAGGCAGCTTCTTGTCACAGCACGCAGGAGGAACATGAAGTGAGTCTAAGCTAAGGGTATAACTATCATTTCGATATTCTGAAACAGTTCCTTTTAACCTCGGTAGACGGTAAATTGCATAAATGCAGTATTAACTATCATTAGTGTTTATCTCCAAATGGTGCAACATTTTTAAAAACGGTCAAATGCAATCGAATATTTATTTATTGGAATTTTTCTCTTGCTTAGCTTGCAGATGGGAATCATGCGCTACAGCTACGCCAGCAGCACACATTCCCTGGTGCACTACACCCACCACTCCCCCCAGCTTGTAGGGGAGCCCCATAACCTCATGGCGACCCTTGGGGACAACCTCGAGCGGGGCTCGGTGTCTCTGAGGTCCGGAAACCAGCTTGAAGAGGAAGAAACCCGCGCGGAAGCCAACGAGATCCAAAGTGGGAGAGAAACCCGAAGAAACAGGGACAACGTGAAAATTGAAAGAGATTTTGAAACACGCAAGAGACATGACCAGGGTGATAACGAAAGTGGCCAAGATTTTGCTAGCCACACAATAGAAAAGCGAAAACAACACAGAGGCCGGAGCTCCAAAAAACGTAATCTTTCAATGCATAGTCTCAGCAAGAGAATAACTGCGGCCGTTCCCAAAATTGAGAATTCTCCAACTTATGGAGTGCACGGTATAGACGCAATTTCCCATGGAAATCCTCCCACTGATTTCCAAAAAGATGTCCCGGTCCCCCCACTGGAATCTACCTCAGAGTCTTCGTACTCCGAGAACATTGACGATCTCGCTCACTTCGGCCTCTCGTCCCGCGGGCGTCTACACGAGGCGGTCCTCACAGCCCTGCGCTATCCTTACCGCAAGGGCAGCGCCCGGGTCGTGCTTATATCTGCCTGTTCACTGCAAGATATTAACACGGTATGTTATTATGATTTATTCTAATTAATTTCAGCAGACGAAGTGATGAAAACTTGAAGAGTCTGCCTTACTTTAATATATTATGACTCTTTATTATAAAGTGTCAGTACGAAGTAATTTGTACCATAGACTTTGACTATTTTTAGCGTGTACAATTTTGTGATGCAAATAGTCAAACATTAAATATATAAAATATATCTGTCTATTGCAGTTGTAGGTTATCTCATGGTACTTTGAGAGCCATCAATACAATTTCTCTAAGGCAAGAACTTCTTGAGTATAAAGGGTTTTCTTTTCTTAAATATCGGAACGGTCTAAGTCACTCCCCATGCATTTACGGTATATGAGTAAGGTCGTTAGTTTAAACCAAAGTTTAAATAAAACAAATCTAAACATCCTAAGAAATTTATTTTAAATTTAATGGTGACTATTCTTAAAGTCATGTAGTTTTATAGACATATTTTATATGATTTCTCTACTCGCAGTTCTCCCCAGAATTAGTGGAAGAATTTCGGCGTCGGGACATCGCCGTTTTCTTCATATCTCCGCGCTCCATCTTCTCTGCTGACTCCACTCCTACTCCACGTTATGCTATTGGTACGAATAACTGTTGTAACAAATTTTATGTTCCGTAGAATTTTGTATTTGTTTAAGTCGGAACCTAATTTTTCAATTACATATTTACTGTTACTGGACAAATAGGCGAAAGAGCCCTCTTCATTATATTCACTTCTTTAATACTTTGTCATTCTCTAACAAGAACAAAAGTTATTTGTTTTATCTTGAAATTCGTAAAACACTATGTATCAATTATTAGTATCAAGTTTTAGTAGATTGCTTCCAAGAATTTAATTTGAGACATAAAAAATTATAAGCGGGATAATTTGTTTGTCAAATATATTGACAAACATTTAGTCTCCTCTTAATAACTCTGAATGCGTTGGCCGTTTCTAGGTGTACCGTTTACAGGTCAGAAAATTGATTAGTTTTGATTACTCTCTAGTTAATTGCGAGAGTTTATTTATTGTAAAAAATTCAACGCAAGATTTTTTTGCAAACATTTTTGATTTTGACAAACATTTTTCTACTATTTAGCAGCGCTGCCATAACGGGCACCGGCAGTAAAAGGGCCGGCAACAGCAGCGCTAAGGGCCAAAAGGGCAGCAAAAAAGCCAAAAACAGCAGCAGTGGCACAAAAGGCAGAAATAGGCCTGGGAGCAGACTGGACGGCCGCAACACTCGCCAGGTGCGAATGTTGCGTCTGTACAAAACCATCCTCGTCGTGTCCATCATCAACAGACTGCACGACATTGCCAGCCTCGGAAATTAGACTTTAGTCTATTCTTTCGAGCGATGGTTATTGTATTTTCCAGGGGTTATTAGGAGAGCGGGAAACTGATTTGCTTTCATAATTGATAATTGTTGAAATCGCAGGTAATTTAAAATTACCTGTATTTTTAAAACCTGTATTTTTAAATAAGAATATTATCATTCTTCAATTGCAAATGCCTAAGTTGGGGAAATTCAGTGTTTTAAAAACAAATATTTCTTCATGTGAGGCTCAACAACTTTTATTGTTAAAGTTCCTGGTTAGAAAGTCAATATTTGAAGCTCGTTCACTGCAATCTGGAAATAGATTGATTCTCCCTAAAATCATAACCCTAAAACTTACATGAACGCTTGCCGCCATCAAATCATAGTTCGTAATAAGGCTGTTGCCGCAAAAAAATGTTTAAATATTTGAACGTGTTTTTGATGTAGCTTCGTCATTGCTTTGCATAAATTCTGCATTTTTTATAAAAACAGTTTATAAGAGAAAAATATTTCTCAAATCTTCATAATAATATTCAATTCACTTCCTTTCGTATCAAGATTATATAAATATATTATGAACATAATATTTTATTATATATAGATAATCTATTTGGCTTTAACATGAATGTCTAACTATGAAAATTTTTATAATTAATCAATAAACTACAATTTAATAACGACCCTTCGCCGAGATACCCTATAGTTACCGCGACTACTGATCATGACAAGCTTTGGCTTATCTACACGAACATTGTTATTTTTTTAAGTCTGTATTAGCTATTGTTTCGCAGAATACTACTTTCAAAGAAAAAAATAATACCAGTGTAATAATGAAGAGGTTTAACACCATGTTACCGTGCATAACAGATTCAAATGTCAAGGTTCTGCTAAATAATAAAATAATATACATCCAGGGTTCAATTAATAAGTTTTCTGTACATGACACTTCAGTGCTACGCGCAGCACACAATGGTCAGCTAGGCATATCAGTACGATATCGTTTATTTTGCTTGACGTTATTCAAAGAAGTGTCTTAAAAACAAAAAATTAACAAGTTCTGAAATTTATGCTTGACAGCATTAATTCTTTTTCTGTAGTGGCAAAACAGGGACCAGGCACTTAACATGGGCTGTAGAGGGGATGCTACTTAAAAGTTGAATTAATTTGTTATCTATGCACGAGTTATGAGTAAAACACATTGTATCAGATAATCTTATGCAGATGGATAAAATTCTGCTTTCTATTACCAACTGATTGTAAGTTGTTAATAAGTTATTAATTACAATAAAATACTGTTATCAATTTACTCAATTTATGCCGTTTGTTATTTTATAATATGGAATTATTAAATAAACGTTAATGCTTTGAACTCTTTATTGCACGCCTTTCACTAAATTATTTGCTCATAAGAAAATTTGAAAATTATTATATACTTTTTCTACGCTTTCATTTATCGATGCAGGAGTGTGAGAATGTTGCAAACTTTCTAATTAAATAAATTGATCCAAATATGAAGTTGATCATAATATTCAATAAATTGATCAAAATAATAAATAAGTAAATGCAACACAGCTGAATGCTGTCTATCGGAAAGCATGGAAGGCGCAAGCACAATTTTTTTAATCGTTTCTGTGCACAAGTTTCAAACTATCATTTACTGTGTTGCCTGCACTTTGCATCTAATTTATTTCAATTGTACAATAGGTATTGGTATAATTAAAACTTATTTCATTGAGTGAGGTTGCCTAAGTTTTTTTGGAGGGAGGGAACTGAAATGTTCCTAAACTAATCAAAATGCGGGGACACTAGCTAATCCTTTCGAACATTTGCCAATCTAAACCTAAAACCTTCAGCAACAATAATTGAATTGGTCGCTATATCAATAGGTTTTCCTATGCGTCAGCAAAAAAAATAGGAAGTGCTCTTTCACCAATGAAGGGCCTTTCAATGAGATGAATCGTTTTTTTTATAAGCACACCAATATAATTTACCAATACCACGCGATGTTCCACTCGACCAATAATAATAATACTCGCCGAGAATAATTGATCTAACGCCGATAAAACTTGGCACTATTGGCATGAAAAATTTAATTTTACTTCCTACTGCGCATGTTCTGCAAGGATCAAAGAACTTTTTACATTTTCTTGCATATGAAATATTTTTCATAGCCACAAGGGCCTGCCGCATATTTGAACACACTTCGCTCGTTTTCATAGACAGATTGAAGGCTCAAACATCTACCCAACGCAGTGTCCCATGGTTTCGATCTTCGGCCTGATCTATTCGATGTCAAATCTGACTTACCATCATTATTGTCATCCTCTTGAACTGATCCACTGCTTAAAGCTCTAGTTACCGTGACGATGGTGGTTGCTGGAGGAGAGAAAGGTGTGGTAGTTGTGGTTGTAGGTTCTATCATAGGTCTTGCTTTGGCTTCCCGAGTCGTTCCTAAAGCAAATTTTATGCTATCAATCATAGAAGTTAAAGTGCTCCCTCTGTTAGGACGAGCAGGGTTGAAAAATGAAAATAGGGGGTTGAAAAAATTCTCTAAAGGGCTGGGATAAATCCTCCCTTGGGCCCGAAATTGCGATGCAATGGATGGCGCTTGGGCATCATATCTACGGTAATTCGCGGCATCGGAATCGAAGGGATTGAATCCCAAATCCATTCGTTCAAGAATCTTCTTCGACTCGTGGTCCTCGGCAACAAATCTGGCAACAGTTTCTTCGCCAATGGCTGAGGTAATATTTTCTAACATTTTGACCAATGGTGCCTGGCTTTGGCCGTTGCTCTGAAGGTAGTGTCTCAGGTAAAGAAGATGCGGAACATCGTCGACGGGAGCTTGCCGAGCTACAGGATTAGATGAATCTGACGAGTATGTCCACAAAGCAGGAGTGAGAGGGACCTCCGCCCCACTGAAGATCCAGCGCCAGGAAATTCCGGGATAAAGCGCGCCCAGCCAAAAACTGTAACCTGAAATTTGAATGTGAAGTTTACAAATTCACATGAATTTCTCCCTAGCATGATGTTAATTACGTTTGTATTTATTAATTTGCTATAGGATTTGAGATACAGTAAATTCATATAATAATTTACCGGCACAAAATAAAATTTTCATCGTCAATAGTGTAACAGATTTTATATCAGCGATATACGAAATATAGGAAGATAAATGCTACTCTAACTTATTAACCTTGAGATATATATCGTACAGTCTACTTTTTTCCTAGCATTGGGATTTTGTCACAGCATCAATTTTTAAATCATAAATAAATACATTTTTGATGTTCATGAGAAACTCACTGGCAGTGGAAGAGAACTGGCCGAGGTAACCGCTGAGACTGGACACCTCGCGCTCAGTGTCAGGGTCTGCCAAGATCGCATCCATGGCCGAGCACGCGGCTTGAGCATCCTGCGTAATGATTATAGATAATTTATTATTTTAAATATTTGTATGAATATAGTTGATTGTAGAAGCCATGTTGATAGGTAATTCTCATAATAAAAGAGAATTCTAGAATAACAGAATATGAAAAAAATGAATTGAATTTTAGAACATGTAAACTTCACGGCGAACTTTAATTACTACGATATTTTAATACTGCCGTGCATGATGCTTTTAATATTTTTTAAAACACGAATTCAGTACCTAATTGAGTAATATTATAACTCGGAACATTAACCTTAGTCTGACCAGCCAGCTGAGGCAACGAAGAAGTCAAGCCTTACCTGCCAGCTGTGACGTCAATATATTTGCACCAACCTGCCAGCTGTGACGTCAATATATTAAATATATTTGCACTAACCTGCAGCAGTGGCGTCAATATATTTGCACCAACCTGCCAGCTGTGACGTCAATATAGGTATTTTTATCACCAACCTGCAGCTGTGACGTCAATATATTTGCACTAACCTGCCAGCTGAGTCGCTTATAGCTGCGTGACGATATGTAGAAACATTCGGCACCAATTCTTTCAAAGTTGGTCGGGCAAGATTTCGGGTAAGGATAATTAGTGGTTGATGTAGACGGTGGTTTGTTGGGTTTTGTTGGTTTTGGTTTTGCCGTTGACTTCTTCTCATCTTTTTCCTGATTGTTTTGGTCGGTTTGGTTTGGTGTTCCCACTCTGTTTACTGCCGTTGACTCGCTGCCGGATAAATCTTCTCCTAGAAAACAGGGAAAATATCGAACGTAATGTCTTTGTATTCACCAAAATGAAAGGAAATCTAAAGCCACTTTAACCTGAAAACAAATTCGTCGATTGCGAATCGAGAGATAAATTCTTCTTATCTATTATAAACGTACATCAGTCAGGCTAGACAAATAAGACATTATTATCACGAACAATGTTCTTACTGTTTGCGATTTCATCAACTTTTTTCTTGTAGACTAGAAATTCTGCTTGCATTTTCTCAAGACTTGCGATTCGGCCGGACAGTTCTTCGATTCCTTCAGCAAAGAGTGAGAGGATGGCCACGATCTTGTCGTACTCCGTAGGGGGAGCCGCCCCCTGTGAGGGTAAGGCTCCCTGAGGGAAATACCCAGGAGGAGGGTATCCAGAGAATGGAGGGTAGTTTGAAGGGGGACGATATCCGCTGTTTGGACGATACAAACCTGAAAATAAATTATTGTGAATGAGACAAAGTCGCAGTATTAGAAGACTTATATTTATATTATCTCACATTTCATGTACTGCAATGAAAATGAAGATCTAGCTTCAGTTCAGCCCAAACCAAGTTGGATTAAACTTCTAGATTCTGACTAACACCGATGAATTTTTCTTTCGAAATATGTCGTCTTGTTATGAATAACCTCATGTCAGTACGAGATATAGCAATTAAATCACTGTGTCAAGATTATTTTACTGCATATATTTTACTGAATAAACTTTTTACATATAAAAACCAACCGTAATGAACACTACGACCATTTGAGTATCAATTACCTAATGAATACTTTCTCAAAACCAATTATTGAATTCACAAGCAATGAACACCAGTCGACAAGGATATTAGACCGTAATAACCGAACAACAATTCATCTCGAAGAACAGTTACTATATATTTGGTATGAACTGAATGGAGATTAATAAATGAGAGAATAAATGGCAAAGATATTTTGGAAATGATGCTGAACTAAATATAAGCAAGGCAGCAAGGGTTAAGTTGAAATTTACTTATCCTTTCTACTCCTCAATTCTCTACTCATGCTCATAAGTAAGAACCAATACTACGCAACAAAGAACCATTGACGACCCATTCAATTTGAAGAACCAATGAAGTACCATTCGATAGTAACCACTAAATTTCAATGTTGCAAGCGATATCAATGAAAACGCCCACTACACTATCTCAACTACGCCAGATACTTTTTAGTCGGCTGTGTTTCTTTTATATTTTCTATATTTTCACAGCTGTTATAAGTTATGCACAAATTATTACATGAGGAAGCTACTACTATAACACGAAAAAATTATGAATGATAGTAATATTATTATTTACATCATCGATAATATAAATGAAATTTCAGACTCTCTGAAGTTATTGGTTAATTGGGTGCTTTTCCAGTAATTTGGCCGCGATTATTCAGGGTTTTAAGATATTACTTTTTTAATACACATGCAAACATGAAATACTTCATTCTTTTATATTTTCCAACACAAAAGCCTTTAAATTATTGATATTAACACAATATCTTTTATTTACATCCGTTAATTTGGTTTAGTAGAAGTACCGTAGTTACTCGGTCAAGGTTATTTTTGTTTTAATCTGAAATTCGACTGCAAGAAAATCGCAAGGGGAACTTTTTTGAAGAAGTCGCATTAATTTCAGTTTTATTTTAGAGCAAAAGTTTAATTTTTTAACAAGAAGCAACTCCGTACAAATTGCCTCACCCGGCCGACCACCTGAGATGCTGTTAACAGGAGGTTGTCCGGGATCCTGAGTCCCTGTAATGATCTTGCCCTGAGATCCAGGATACTGGTATCCTGAGACGCCAGGTATTTGGAACAGTCTAGTATCCGGAAACTGGTATCCTGGAATAACCTGAGTTTTAAACCCAGGTGTATCCGAAATTTGAAACCCTGAGGAATTCTGATTTTGTGATCCTGGAGGATCTGAGTATGGGTATCCTGTACCATCAGGATACTGATACCCGGCAGCCTGATTGCCGGGCGGGAAGAAGGATCCTGACCAAGTGCCCGCAGGATCTTCCTGAGAGGAGCTGAAATTTTGTCGATCTGGGGGAGAGGCTGCGAGGCGGAGGGAGGGGTAAATGAGTATTGTGACGAGATGATGAGTATTGTGACGAGATGATGAGTATTGTGACGAGTTGACGAGTATTGTGACGAGTTGATGAGTATTGTGACGAGATGATGAGTATTGTGACGAGATGATGAGTATTGTGACGAGATGATGAGTATTGTGACGAGATGATGAGTATTGTGACGAGTTGATGAGTATTGTGCCGAGTTGAGTATTGTGACGAGTTGATGAGTATTGTGACGAGAATTGTTTCGAAATTTCAGCGAGTATTAGGACAAGATTTATGACATGATCAGTAATGGTATGTTGACCTTAGGCATCTCATCATCTGTTTAGTCTTAAAATGCCTCGTACCCTACGGAACTACTGAAATCTAGAAACGATTTTAAATCTACCGTCCGTTGAAAAGATTCGATCAAAAGGCCAGTCTAGCCAAGAAAATTACAAGAATCGGCGACAGGCCTATCCAGGCCTATTCTGCAATGCCGAAGATACTATACTATACTACTGTATCTATAGGTATAGCGCGTTGATATAGAATATGGTGTTTTCTAATATGGTATTATGAGTGTGATTCGATGAATATGGTATTATGAGTGCGGCACACAAGTTCGGTTATGTTATTATGCGGTTCACTGCGCCCGTCTTATATGGGGTACATTATATACTAGTAGTGAGCACTTCTTTAATACTCCAATTTAAAATTAAATTAATGCCATTTGACGACCACGATATCAATATTATGTAGACCACAACACCGACCACAATGATGAACAATAATGATGCATTTGAGACTGCAAAACTTATATTGATTCCAGAATGATTCTCATGTTATGAAGACTGCAGCATTTGATGCAGACTAAAATACTGGAATCACGAATATTACGATACTGAGATTACTTTCACAACTAACTGGTGTATTTGTGGTTCACAGAACTGGTAGAGATGTTAGATACTTATAGTATTGTGTGCATTGAGGAATGATGGTCTCGAGAACTACAATACTGGTAAAATGTGAGCCGTGATGATGGTATCAAGGACTACGATACCGGTAATGTGATCAATGGTACTATATACTATTAGCGAGCCACGCTTCCAGTATTTAGAAACTATACTACTGGTAGTAAAGGACCGCGATGTGGACCACAATACTAGTATTGTTTGGACCACAGTTCTAGTATTGCTTGGACTACAATACTAGTATTGCATGGACCACAATACTAGTATTGTTTGGGCCACAATACTAGTATTGTGGTACAAACTTGTGGTCTTGTTTGGGCCACAATACTGGTATTGTTAGGACCACAATACCGGTATTGATGAAACAATGTACGGAAATTAGTTGAAAATAGCGCTGACATTAAGTCAACGAGAAATCTACAAATAAGATTAAGAGGTTGGAGGACCACAATACTAGTATTGTTTGGACTACAATACTAGTATTGCTTGGACCACAATACTAGTATTGTTAGGACCACAATACTGGTATTGTTTGGACCACAATACTGGTATTGTTAGGACCACAATACTGGTATTGTTTGGACCACAATTCTGGTATTGTTTGGACCACAATACTGGTATTGTTTGGACTACAATACTAGAATTGTTAGGACCACAATACTAGTATTGCTTGGACCACAATACTAGTATTGTTCGGAAAACAATGCTGGTATTGATGAAACAATGCACGGAAATTAGTTGAAAATAGCGCTGACATTAAGTCAACGAGAAATCTACAAACAAGATTGAGATGTTGGTACATGTATACGTATACGTAGATAGTTAGAGATTTTTATTTAGCGACAGTCATTGAATCATGTGAACTATCTTGCTCCCAGAATAGGCAACGGCAATACTGGCATATATGAACCACGAAAATCTAAAACAACTAAATCTAAAATCTATCATTTAACCGCAGTATCATGGCATTCCCTGCGTATACTCTTGACCTATATATTCTTATCATGATGAAATGCAAATATGTAAATACGATTCTGATACAGAGCTCGCTAAGCTACAATACATACGGGTACCTGCATGTGTTACTGTGGACGAGCCTTCGTTAACTTGATAGTTAGTCCAATAACTTTTTATGACGGCATAAGAAAAACACTTCTAATTTTACGCAGAAATAAAAGCATTCCGGGATTAAAACAAATTAAATTAAATAATTTTTCTCTCGTTTATATAGTTTCAACTGCATTGGCAATACGAGGTGTATTTGTTGATTTAAACTTTGTCCAAATTTCGATGCACTTTCCCCCTCGTGCGAATCAACCCGACACAATTAGGCCCAGAAAAAAGGCACATTATGTGCATCGAAAATAGCAGCCTTATTTCCTATACATCCTTATACTTTCGTGTGCATCAGAATTATCATAAAAACGCTTCTAGGAAACAGAATTGACGACAAAATACTGATGCAAAAAAACTACAACTAAAAATTACAAATTAATTTACGACAAAACAAGAAAAGCTACACATCAATCTTACACATAGAAAGATGAACGAAACAATTGAAATAAACGGATAGCATTACTCACTGCTCTGGGCGCGGATGTTTGGAAACACGAAGCATGCGCATAGGAATATATAGATGGGAGTATACATTCCTATATTTTTTATTTATCAAAATCGCCTGAAATATGAACGATGATAGAGAAATTAAAAAAAATATATCCTCGAATGCATAGGCCAATTTAAGCAGATTTCATGTCAATCAATGAATTTTTGCCCAAATACGAATTCATGAATTAAACTAATTCCGTGTAATTCCACACTAAACCATAAATTTATTCACCATTCGCTAGATTATCGCCATATGTATGACCTTTTCCAATGAATATAATACTGACACTAACCTATACCGACACTAACCTAAGCTGTAAACTCGATCGATCTGATGGTTTCGCTAGTACAAACCATCAAGTAGATGGATGGTATCGATGGTAGAAACCACCTCTACCACCACATGGCTTGCTTCTGAGAACAAAAAAGCTTCGTGAAGTCAGCAACGCTAAGGCAAATCAATCAATTTAAATTCAAAAACAAATGAACGCGCGCATTAGTATTTATAACTTCGATATAGACTGGACAAGGCAAGCTCGTATCGAAATATATTCAACCTTCCATTACTGCCATGCATACTAATTGTGGACGGAGTATTTAATGTACTGCTACGAGACATTATCGTAAAATAAATTCCCAGACCAACGGAAGTATTTAACGAATAATTTAATGAGCAGAGGCCTAAACAGCGACGGGCGCCGTTGAATGTAATTTTTAAAATATATTTCTAAAAACTACCGGCTTAATTTTTTTAAAACTTGCTGGGTTTTGAAATATATTTTTTTTTTTGCTTCCTTACTCCTAAGTAAATATTACTCTTCCTACTAAAAAGTCTCTGAAAAAGAACATTCATTGATACCTTCATTTATGTTAACGAGATTGAATAATTCAAAAAAATTGGACGTTCAAAATGAGTACTTCAGTCTCATCAAGGGAGAAATGGCTGCTTATTACTAATGTTGACATATGACATTAACTGCAAGTTAAAAAATGTCAGAATGTACACATATGAAGCTTTAAAATGACGTCTAATTACATCCAAAGCTTCGAAAAGCACACCTGGTAAGATTATTATGAAATTAGGTCCACTGATTCATGGACTGCTATTCCTATTCATTAAATCTTCATCGCAAATTTTATCGGTCATTTCCTTCATAATTCGCTTCCAAAACGTTGATAGAAAGGAAAACAAATGCCATATGGAAGTTCAATCATTGCCATGCTACTCGCATAGGTTAAATGGCAAGGGAACAAAGACATTACACAGAGAGCGTAAAACAATGAGCGTACATGACACGTAAGGATTCAGGTTCTCCAGTCATACACATAAATGTTTAAAGAATTTCAGTAATTTCCCATCGCGAGTAAAAAAAATTTTCACGTAATTGCTTCTGGGTAAATATTTCCACTCAGTCGTTCAAGCCCAGCTTGAGAAAGTGTAAGTCGGACTCAAGACCCAAGCAAAAGCTTGCGGGGTGCTTGCAAAACATTCACGTGGGCATTACTGTCATTGAAACGTAGTTATCAGTTTCCATCGGAAAAATAGACGTCACATTGACATAAAAGCCTACAGGTTTCGCAGCAGCATGATTATTTCTGTCACAAATTAGTTCACAAGCTTTCTGGAACAAGTTGTAGCTTATAAGCGCAGTCCCTTCACTTTCGTCCAATGATCGCATTTCTGCACGGCACTTTCACTGCTTTCGATACCAGCCTCTGTACACGACTGAGGTGCCTACACTGCTTCAGCTCACTATATATACCGCCCCTGGATTTCGTGCATTCATAATAGATATTGTTGGTCATCAAATTCTTAAACTATCTTCAGTTTGGCAGCCTCAATCAGAGGATTTATTTGCAAGTAATCCTCGTTCCCAAAATATTTTTCTTCTTAGTCACTTGTCATGTGCGTAATTCTGCTCGTCTCATTCACACAAAATATCGTTATTATCAGTAAACAAAATTTAGTTAATCATGACAAATTCTGGCACGATTAATAACACAGATTCGAGGAGTATATTTTTAAATACTTAATCATTTACTTCAACGTTTAACCACAATTTAGGATAAACGCAACTCCACGAACCAATAATCGTGATTAAACGTTGAATTTTCTACTTGCCTGATGATTGGTCAGTAAAAAACGTAAACAACGCAAGTAATTTAATAGAAAATTAATCAGAATAAATAAATAAAATTAAATGCGTGGCACGGAGCAACAACGAGGGCGAAAGTGATGACATTTCCGACGTACATCCCCAGATCCGGCTTGGGTTTCAAGGCGTCGAGCCTGCCTCGCGATAACCCATTCATTGCGTTCAATAACTTTTATGCTACGCGGGACTATCTGCTGCTAGGTAAATGTTATTTATCAATAATTAGGTACAGCTCATGCTAATCGTACTGCTACGCTAGACCAAGCTCACGCTAATCGTACTGCTACGCTAGACCAAGCTCACGCTAATCGTACTGCTACGCTAGACCAAGCTCTCGCTACACGCACTGCAACGCTAGACCAAGCTCGCGCTACACGCACTGCTACGCTAGACCAAGCTCATGCTACACGCACTGCTACGCTAGACCAAGCTCTCGCTACATGCCCTGCTACGCTAAACCAAGCTCACGCTACACGCACTGCTACGCTAGACCAAGCTCATGCTACATGCATTGCTACGCTAGGCCAAGCTCTCGCTACACGCACAGCTACATTGCCTGGCTATTGCTTGCACATTTTAATGCAGCGAACGATACGTCTTTTAAATGCTACATCAAAAGGAACGCCTTGAGATCAAATGATATGGCAGCGGCGTTAGATAAACCTATTATTGCAAACGTGCGAAATTTCAATTAAAATAGCAATAATTGTTTTTTCGGGTATAGAAATAAATGGAAACGAGCATCAAAGATTTCGCCTGAATAGCAGTTGAAATTCTCAATCATTCAACGGCCTGATATTAATAAATCGACGGTATTATTTAATACAAAATGACTGACATGCATCCATCTGATTGAGGTTCATGGAGAAAAAAATAAGACATTTATTATATTCCTCACAAATAATCTCGAGTGATTCTTTATTATTTAATAAGCAGTAACGTTCAACATCATTTCAGATAATATTGATTGAATATTTCAATTTGTAAATAAGACATTACCCAATATATCTCGTAATTGGGACCGAGGAACGAACAAGAAAGAAACTATGAAAATTAGCAGCAAAGTTTATTTACAGAGGAAAATAGAATGCAACATTACTTACTCTACTGATGACAATCCCATACCGACTAACTTACTTTGGAAAACATAGAAAAATATGAGAGCTACTTTAATTCAATCGCTGAGTTCGCATTGATCTACTAAGAGTTAAAATAACAGTGAATAAGTTCGAACAATAGTAATCCACATATGGGAACATACCGTTTAAGTAACGCTATACAAAGGCTAATTTAATAGTTCTCGAACCATACGCAGCGTAAGCAGAATAAATGGAAAATAAACAATGGTGTCTGTCACTGAGCTTCATACAAGTACGACAAAGTTGCCTGGAACAAAATCTTAGAAAAACGCTTCATTTCTGAAATCTGTATGGAAATGTTGAGTGAACTGAGAGAATACTTTAAATGAAGGAACTTAACAGACCTTTCGCAACCAACTGTTTATGAAAAAAAAAAACTAGAAAGCTTTCCCTAATTTCAAGTATACGTAGTCGATCATCAATGATAAAAAATTTCAGTAGAAACAACTATTTCTACAATTTGAATTCGGTTGAAGGAAACACTTTGTTGAATTTTGAAGTTGAATTTCATGTCTTGGGAGCACCTCCATAACAAAATGAAATTATGAATAATAGGAATAAATTTGTAACTATCGACTACAGTTTTCAATCAACATAGCATACAACAGAGCGTGGAGCAGACTTAATGCATTCTAATTAAATATCAATAATGTAACAAGTGGTAATGGTTTCAGAGCAAGCAATGTGAGTAGCCTATAGACACCCCACATCAAGGATTAGTTGAAGCACTTCTTCCAGACAACAGGACCATTACAAAGTATCCTATTTACTGTATAGTATAATATATACAGTATATGGGCGCATAGCATTACCGATCCCGTTGGTCACAACACACATAAAGCAGACCATGTCAAGACTCGCTCTCGTGCATCAATTGCACCACCAGGAAGGTAGCAGTGAATATCGCCTCCATGTATATATGTGATACTTGTTCTTTCAAGAACTTATAACGTGAAATTAGACGCTCAAATAAATGTAAACAGGAAAGAGACGAAAAAATAATATCTAAGTCAACTTTACGTCCGTTTGTGATAAACTCAAAATTAATTAATTCTTTCCCACGATTGTAAGCTCCGGGCTCTAAAATTCAAAACATTTCAACAGGTTTATTCGGCAAAATAAAACGTAAGCCAAATTGAAGTCGAAGAAGCCTTTGACTTTAACGTCAACATAATGCAAATTAACTTGAAACGCTCGTTCAGTCAATGTAAAGTCCAACAGATGGAAGAATTTACACACAATCGCTTTGTATTATAGGCAGAAGCACAGATCTCGTGGTCTTGAAGGAAAAAATAAAAATGATTTCGTAAGATCGTGGATGTTCAACAAACATAACCTTAACTTATTTCCATTTCCAGGAAAATAATCTAGAAATTTCAGCTGGACAGCATATTCGCAATGCGTTGAGAAGCCTTGCAAAATTCATTCAATATCAATTTAAATTCGACTCAAATACACTTCAACTTATTTAATTCAATCAAACCATCTTTCTCACTATCCCAGTTCATTTCCTTAACAAAGAAATACTCAACATTTCGAATAAAACCCCTAATTCAGATGTGGGATCACTGATGTACATCAAACGAAACATTAAGTATCGAAAAGAACGAAAAAAAAAAACGTTTTGTTCAATAAGTCTTATAGATGAAATACTTGACTGGTAACAAATGACGCAATTTGCATAATTGCGGATTAAATGTAGTCCAGGAATTATTAAACCCATATCAATTAAGCCTCGAAGACGAGGTGAAAATCAGCAGATGAAGGATCATCAGCTTCTTTTAGTGAAATATTTTCAGTGCCTATCGCTCTAATATAAATAATTCAAATCTAGTAACACACTCAAGACCACTGGAAGGGGAATAAGATATTTATGTACTTTATTACATGGGTACAATACACTTATTTCAATTGAAAAAGATGGAAAAATAATGAAGCTGGAAGAAGTTTCTACAGTAACGGCGGCATGACATGTTTGATAAAACTCACTATACGAATAAACAGGGCGGGAGGCGGCCAATCAGGAGACCAGCAATGCAGGGGGCAACACTTCACTTTATTCCTACTAACACAAAATTGGTTAATACAGGAAATTCGATCACAAACAGTTGAATACCATTTTAAAACAAATTGACCTGCACATTTGCAACATAACAGGTAAAAATGTCCTCTTGGCCAATTACAGAAATTTAATAGCAAGGTATGATCCCGCGAACTAGAGAGAAGTGAAGTGAGCTCCCTACAGAATGGCGGTCCAGTCAATGGCCGATCCCCCGCCCCCAAACCAAAAATATTTCAAAGCTTCGATTAAGCTGATCAGGTCAGAAGCGCTGCCCTAAAAAACTCCAGCAGAGACAGTAAAACAAATGCTGGTCACTTCAGAAAGGTTTCTTTATCGCGGATAGCACAGGGTATTTATTTATACAACGATCAGACGACCATTGCAAGATAATCATGATAGTGTACGGTATAAGACTGAAATATAGACTGCAGTTGACGCTTCTGGAATGAATTTAGCCATCAGGAGTGGGAATTCTTGTAAGCAGTTACATTACTGCTACGAAATGAAATGACGCCGGTGGATTAAATGTTCCTTTACTGCTAAAGTTATTTATCAGTATTCCCTTTCATTGCAGTCTTCAGTCTCTCGTAAGAGCTATTCTATTTACTTTGAAAAAATTATCTAAATAAAAGAAGCGCATATCTTGCTGAAGCTTTCGATCTGAGCACAACAACAGGCAGAAATTCTAATAAGCTAAATCTGGTACCATCAGTTCCGACGATCATTTCAATAAAGCTAGGCTAGAATTTCATCCTAAAAAGTTAGGGAGCAAATTCAGAGTAAACAGCGCTTCTGACAACCAATAGCATCTTCTCGAAGCTTCCTTCTTCCTCTACATAATAGACTTAAAAAATATGAAAAAGAAAACTCTCATTTTTCAAGAGAGATAAACACAAGAGATAGAACTCAAGTGTTTGTATAATAAATTCTATCAAACATGTACTATTGCATAAGTGTCCTGATCTCCTTGTGGATGTGACATAGGAAATCGACATAGCTTGGAGCTCCGTAGACACCCTTATCCTCCACGAGATATGATCTAAGGACCACCTCGTGCTTGCCTTGCTGTGGCACAACGTACATGCGCATGTATAACGGAGACTCAGACCGGACTTCGTCAACGATGGCACGCATACGGCGGCTGGTCGGGTTATCGATCTCGGGAAGGTCAGAGAGCGTTGGGTCTAGCTGGTGAGGAGCGTTCACGCCGAAGACGTCGTTCAGCCATTGCACGGGGGCGTTAGAACCCACCCACAAGTACATCACCAGTCCGTTCTCCAGCAGGAACGCTCCGTCCGAACGCAGCTTCTCGTAGGACGTCCGGACGGGCGTTGGGAGGCCCACATCCTGTAGCAGGATACACACAAGTTACGAGAGGGAAATAAAGTTAGATTGTATAAAAAAACTACAATATTCCGGAAGTTAAATCATTAGAAACTGATGAAGGACATTGTAAGCACAAAAGTTACTTGGTATATTGCACTGCATTAACAACAAACTCGGATTTTTTTAATCCTACCGATATGCGCGTGAATATAAAATGTCTATAACTATCCTCACAACTATCAAATGAATGAACTCACTTGATTAATAAATTTAAGCATTATCAATATGATAAGTTTATAAACAGACACATTAAATTAATTAGGTCAATCATCTGTAAGCTAAGCACCTAATTGAACGAACAATGTACCAATAGCATAATTTGGATGTAATGAGCATAGCAGAGCTCAACCTCGAGAATTACTAATAAGAATTTATTTGAGGAAAGAAAACCCGCGACTTCGCCACCTTCTCCCCAGAAAACGATGATTAAATTTGATCCTGATATTAAATGAGGAGAAAAAGGGAAACTGAAATAAAAATAATTTCTTTGTAGAAGAATAAAAAAAAACGTATTTAGCTAAAATTACGAATGCTCAAGAAGAACCAAATTGAAAGAGAAGGATAAACGAGCTTATTAGCCTGATGAAGTTGTAGGAGGCGTTGACCCGAGGAGGAGAAGTTTCCAGCTACAAAACTCTACACACAGTATGGTAAAGTTTAAAGTTGGCAGACAGAAGTTACTGGGCTAATCTGCTTGACGATGCTGTAGAAGACTAAAAAAAATAATTATTTTATATTTGTTGGGGTTGAATATGAATTGTACCAAAGTAGGTTTACAATAGAATGAAAATCATTGTATCGCATACCAACGTTTAGTCTGTCATGCCATTGTATGCTAAGGCATTGCATGCTAAAGCATTGAATGCTAAAGCATAGTATCTTAAAGTACTGTATGCTAAAGCACTGTATGCTAAGGCAGTGTATGCTAGAGCACTGTATGCTAAGGCAGTGTATGCTAAGGCATTGCATGTTAAAGCATTCACTGAATGCTGAAGCATAGGTAGTATGCTAAAGTACTGTATGCTAGAGCACTGTATGCTAAGGCATTGTATACTAAGGCAGTGTATGCTAAGGCATACACCTCGACATTATTTTGATGATAAGAAAGACAGATGACACAACTGACGCTGACCGAGTTTTCATCGCAGTGGATGAGGGGCAGGAGACGAGGGTAATAGTACACGATGGACGCCTCGATGGTGCACGACGACAGATGGTAGATGTGAAGCGAGCGCTCGTCGCATGTTAGGTCCTGCCCTCCGCTCAGAGCTTCGCATCTGCAACGTGTTTACGTTATTAAGCCACCAGCAGCAAGACACTACACACAAGAAAATTAAATTATTTAGTAGTATGTTTAATCTGAGAAACTTGATAATTCATCCGCAGCTTTATCACAAAATTTATGTAACACATGGTGTGCCAGAGTTGAAACTAATCGATAGGGTATCAAGTTTTTTTTACCGTAAGGAGATAAACTGTGCCTAAGTCCAGTTAGCTCATGCCCACAAAAAACGAACGTGGTGCCACGTACTTACCTGGAGAGGCAATTGACGTAAAGCGGCAAGAGCTTTAGCAACTCCGGCAGTATCAGCTGGCCAGCTGCAGAAGGAGTTGCGCAATTCTTGCGGTAGCACGCCAAGATGTTAGCAGTGCGTGACACAAATTGCTCCTTCACCTGTGATGTTAACGAAAAATTCCGAATGAATAGAAGCTAAAGCTTCAATTATATATTTTTTAGAAAATGTGTTGTCGTAACAGATTAAAGTCGCGTAACAATTATTTGTCATCATGCGAATACTTGTAACAAATAATAATCACAGCATCAGTCTCATCAACCGAAAACTTAAGGTGGTACATAAACTATCAGTGAAAGATTTAAGATGCGTCTATGTAAGTATGCTGAAACTAACGAAAGTAAGCATAGAGTAACGAGGGCAAATCACAAACCTGTTTAGCAGTTGATTCTAGGAATTTAGTCATAGACATTTTCCCGAAGAAGTTCATGAGAGTGTCGAGCTCGCAGTTCTTGTAGAGATCAGCCATTTGTGTGCAAGTGTTCAGACTCAGATTGATGACCCTGAGGCGTCTCTGGCCGCCGACGGAGGTATAGAGAAGAGCCACTTGGATATAAACGCCATCGTCTTCAGTAAGTTTATCGTCATGCTTGACTTCTACAGCTACAGCTTTGCTGCTGTCTATGCACGCAAGTTCAAGGTCCTGAGTGTTGGCCATGAAGAAATGACCATAGAAATCGACGGCTCGAACACCCGCGGAAGTGCGAACACGCATGACGGCATCGAACACGATCTCTCTGCTCAGGTTGCGCTCGAGATCCTGGAGGAGCCTTCGACTGTCGTGATCGCGCTGGAAAAAACTGTATTTATACACTTGGCCTCCAGTCAAGCGGCACACTTGACCGATCGTCGAGAGGTCCACATACGAATCATTAAACACAAACAAATCAACTCCGCAACCTACTCCAACGAGGTCTTGAGCCAGATTATTGTAGAAGTTTGTCTGTGGAGTGAGAATAGATTTTTCCTTCTCAGTTCCTAAGAGTTTCCGATCTTCCCGGTTTTTAAGCTTGCCAGGGCCTTCATTTTGCGGAAGAGATGAGTGGAACACAAAGAGTTTGCCAGTGCGCCCTGATGCCTTCAGAGCGGACATGCCAGCTTGAATAGCACTGCCTAGAACTCCCGAGTTCTCCTTAGTACCTTGAAATATTTGAGGGATGTTGTCCATGAGCTTGGAAATATTTTCTGCTGCTTCGTTGGGGTCACAGAGTACGCCTTCAGGCACAGGCACGAACATCTCCTCCTTGTCGCACACCACGCACATCTCAGGAGACTGACCCAGCAGCTTGTAGAAATGCACGTTGCTATCATAGGTTATGAAACCTACTCGTAGTCTGCTGTTTTCATCCGTTTGGCCGCCTGTAAATATAACCTCAAGATAAATTAACAACATTCCAGTGCAAAAAGATATACTTTTTTCCAAATTAACATACACCGGTTAGAGAAAGAAAAACTATAGGTAGTACCTAATTAATGCTCGAATAATAACAGTTTCTATACGTCCCAACAAAATATTAGTTCTATCATATTGAAATTTCAGAATTCTAACCAAGGGAGTCTTTGGGCAGATGTTGGAGAAGTTGCGACATGTTCTGGCACAAGAGACTGATAAGTCCCCGCTGTATCATCAACTGGCTCATCTCCAGCACGAAGATGAAGGCAGGTTCCTTGGGCATCTGCTTTTCCTGCAAACCGCCAGAGGAGTAGAGTGGATTGAAAAATATTTTTTCAATAAATATTAGTAGCAGTACAAATCAAGTAATGGTATGTTTAAAAGTACCCCAGGAAATTGTTCAATTTATTTCTATGAGGGAACAATAGAAACTAAATAAATATCAATACCCTGCCCATGTCGCATTTGCTTATACGGAAACGGGTTATTGCAAAATGAGACTCACTCTGCAGTACTCGGGCGTTGCAATGTACTCGTAGGTTCCAAGACACAGCTCAGGACGCTGGTATTTGTCAGCTCTCGCCCCCTGACTGTCCATGTTACAGTAGTACTCGGGCGGCGTCTCGTTCATTTGATGACAAAGTTGGCACTGGAACCTGCAATAAAATAATATGTTTAATTACATGATGTTATTACAAAGCCATGCTCAACAAGCATAGATGCCACCAGGTTTACCATGATAAGTTAACCCATTTAAGGACGTTGCTCCAAATATTGTTTCAAAACACCAGAAAATGTTATCAAGGAAATTTTTGATATAGGAATAAATAAATAAATGACAAATCTGGCAAAGTCATAATATGAAGTTTATCATCAAATAATCAATGTTCTGACCTTCCAAATTCACCGCTAAGCATGCAAGCAAAATGCAGAGCTGTTATAAATATTCATGAAAGTTTCAAATTCTGTGATTATGCACTTACAAATTCCATAATTTCTTAACTTGAATCGACATATTTTCTGACTCAAATATACATTCCGGTACCCATTCTCAAGTTGGTAATTTTTCAACTTCAGCATATATTGCAGTATAAGGAATCGCACCTCCTGCCACCATCCATGAAGTTCATGTAAGGGCTCATGTATGCTTTGCATCTGTTGCAGCGGACAGGTCCCGTGGCAAGAGAAGTGCCGGCGTAGAGCGGCTGTTCTCCAGGCTGCGAGCGCGCCAGCGGGCTGATCACCAAACCGAACGGCAGCGATGCTTGCTTCAACATGTCTGGCGTTGACGGCACGCTGTACATTGTTGATCTGATGTACCTGTGGAAATAATGAAACTTGGTACGCTGTACATTGTTGATCTGATGTATGTACTTGTGGAAATGAGACTCGATACGCTGTACATTGTTGATCTGATGCACCTGTGCAAATAATGAGACTCAGTAGGCTGTACATTGTTGATCTGATGTATGTACCTGTGACATTGAGATTTAATTTCTTTTGATAGTATTTTTGAATACTATGCGTCTCTATACATAATTTAAGTCACTTTTCCTGTTAAGTTTGTGTACTTACAAACATTAAAATACGATTTTTCAAGTGTACGAATATTTATTTCCCCCCACTGTATTGGCAACGCTGCTTGCACCCTCTGCACCTTGGATGCCATTGAGCATTGACAACAACCTTGTCCACTGCAAGCTTCATATCAGCAGCCATGTAGCATTTCTTGTGTAGGTAAGCTTCCAGAATGGCTCGTAATTTTGCACCATTTCAATCGAGTCAAGTGAATTCACTATAACAAAAAAGGATTGTAGAAAACATACTGCCAACCGGGGGCTACTCGGGACAATTTTGAACATTTTTCATTCATAAGTTCTTACCATGAAACATTTCATAAACAAGTTTAGGCTCATTTTAAAGCTCTTTGCAAGGGCTATCACATGGTTTCTTCAAAAATATTCCATATGCTATTCGTAAGGTGCCAGAAGCAAAAAAAAAAGTATCCTGAGTAGCCCCGTCAAACGGGGACACTTGGAATAAAACTTCAACTTGGGACACTTGGAATAAAACTTCATTTTAGAACATTTGAAGCATGCAGAGTGTACTCATCCATTACTAACAGTACTCTGAAGTCCTCCTCTTTCATTGTAGATGATGTAGAGGTAGACTAAATGACATTTTCTGTGATTTTTACTTGTTTTTCCTTTATTGATATGATTTTACCATAAACATTAATTACCATCAACAAAATGGGGTCGTAAACGCCGGGGTCATAAACACCAGGGTCATAAACAAGGTCATAAACGCCAGAGTGACTTTGGCCATCGTTTATGACCCCACTTATGTTTGCAAAACAAAATTCAAAACGGGGCCGAGGGGCCGAAGTCACCCGGCGGCCAAAGTCACCCCAGTTGAGGGTACCATATTATTGATACGATATTACTGTATTAGTATACGATATTATTGATGTGATATTACTGTATTACTGATGGGATACCGTCAACCGGGGCTACTCGGGATGGCTTTGAGCATTTTTTCTTCTTCTTCTTCTTACCATGAAACATTTCATAAACAAGTTTAGGCTCATCTTATAGCTCTTTGCGAGGGCTATCGAATGGCATCTTAAAAAAAATTCCATATGCTATTCGTAAGGTGCCAGAAGCAAAAAAAGAGTGTCTCGAGTAGCCCCGTCGAACGGGGCTACTGGGGACACTGGGAATAAAACTTCATTTTAAAATATTTGAAGCATGCAGAGCGTACTCATCCATTACTAACAGTACTCTGAAGTCCTCCTCTTTCATTGTAGACGA